AACTTTGCAGGCCAGAAGGGAGTGGCAGGAAATATTAAGAGTGATGAAAAGCAAGAACCTACAACCAAAATTACTCTATCCTGCAAAGATGTCATTTAGAATCGATGGCCATATAAAGAGTTTCCCAGACAAGAAAAAGTTAAAGGAGTTCATCACCACCAAACCATTATTATATGAAATGATGAAGGGTCTTTTTGAAGAAAAAGATAAAATATATGAACAAACAAAATGGCAATGAATACATATCTATCAACAATGGAATCTACAAACAAAATGAACAGGCAGAACAGAAACATTCTCATAGATACAGAGAACATTTTATTGGTTGCCAGATGGCGGGCGGGGGGGGGGGGGGCAGTTGGGGGAATGAGTAAAAAAACGTGAAGGGATTAAGAAGTACAAATTTATTGTTAGACTGACAAACCAAGACGGGAAAGGGGTTGGGGGCTGGGAAGAAATAAACCAAAGAACTTATATGCATAACCAATGGACACAGACAATAGTGTGGGAAAAGGCGGGAGGGGGGGTGGGAGTGGGAAGGAGGGGGTCAATGGGGGAAAAATGAGGAACATCTGTAATACATTCAACAATAAAGATAAAAAAAAGTAAAAAAAAAGTATTAGTCCTTCATAAAAACATAGAAAAAGATAATATATCCTGATCAAGTGGATTTTATCTTAGAAGCAAGATTATAATTTACTATTTCAATAGATAAGAATAAAATAATTTCTAAAGGCAGAAATAATATTTTTAAAAATTTTAAAGTTCAATGTTTTTTATTATTTTAAAAAGTTTTGAGAAAACTAGCAATGGGAGGTAACTTCCTCTACCTGAGAAAAGACATCTATAGAAACCCTACATTATCATATTTAATGATGCAAAGAAGAATGCCCTCCCCAGCACAAGATCAAGAGCAAGGCAGAGATGTTCACTTTACACTTCTGTTCAGTACTACACTGCAGGAGCTGGTGATGAAAACAAGAAATGAGGGACGTATGAATGGAAACAGAAGATACAAAACAGTTTTTATTCCCAAATAAGAGGATTTTATACACGTAGGAAATACTGTGTTATCTACAAAACCTGACCAAAACTAATGATTGAGTTTACCAAGATCGGAGAATACAAGATCAATATATAATAATACATTTATTTTTATCTACTCAAAACGTTCACTCAGAAATTTAAGTCTTAAAACTACCATTAATAACATCATCAAAAAATAATTAAGGATAAATTTAACAAAATATGTGCAAGATTTATATGCTTTTGGAAGTAAAAACATTGTTAATGAAAGTCAAAGATCTAAATAAAAGAGAAATAAATATGTTTGCAGATCAGAAGATTCAGTACAGCCAAGATGTCAACTTTCCCTAAATTCGTCTTTAGATTTAATGAAATTTCAATAAAATCTCAGCAAACTCTTTTGTGTATAGTGATAAGCTGATCGTAAAATTTATATGGACATGCAAAGGACCTAAAGTAGCCAAAAATTTTTTTGAAAAAATGCTAGAAAAAGACATAGGGGAACATTTTTGCAAACTTGAGTGAGGGAATCATTTTGTGTCTTTTTACTTAGGACACAAAAAGCATGATCTATTTTTTAAATGGCTTTATCAACATTAAAAATGCCCATTCTGTGAAAGAAACTATTATGAGAATGAAAAAATACACCATAGAGTGGAAAAAATTTGCAAAACACAAGTCATAAAAATTTTCTACTTAGAATATACAAAGAACTCTCACAACTGAAAATTAGCAAAAGATTGGAATAAACACTCCACCAAAGATGATATAGAAATGGGAAATAAGTACATGAAAAGATTCTCAACATCAGTAGTCATTAGGAAAATACAAATTAAAACACAGTTAAATACCAGTATACATTTATTAGCATGACTAAATTTTTAAAAATGGCAATGAATGTCAAATGCCAGCAAGGATGCTGAACACCCACACATTTCCGGTGGGAACGCAAAAATGGTAAAGCCATTTTAGAAATCCATTGTCCTATTTTCTATGAAGTTAGCATAAACTCACCACATGATCTAGGAATCGCAAATCTGTATATTTTGCCCAGGTGAAATGAAAACATATCCACTCAAAGACTTTTACATTAATATGTAAGGCAGCTTTATTCATAATGACCAACACTGAAAAAAAAAAGTTTCCCCAACTGGTGAATGAATAAGCAAATTGTCGTACATCCATCCAATAGAACACTTTCATCAAAAAGAAAGAAACAAGGTGTTAACAGATTTAGCAACATGTATAAATCTCCGAAGCATTATTCTAAGTAAAAGAATCCAGACACCATAGAATACATACCTATAATTTCCTACAGCCTCTGGAAAAGACAAAATTATAGGGACAGAAATCGGATTGGTGGTTACTAGGACCTGGGGGTAGGGTAGGGTTTGATTGAAAAGGGGCATGAGGAAATTTGGGTGGGGGGTGTTATTACAGACATGTTCTATATCTTGATTGTAGTGGAGGTTACGTACTTTCTATACTTGTCAAAACGTATCAAACTGTACACCTTAAAAGGGTGAATTCTGTATACATAAATTATACTTCAATAAACCTGACGTAAAAAATGGTAGAAAGGATGAGATAATAATGCAGGTAATGGCACTTGCAGTCACATTGGTCTCAGCACAGCTTTGACCTTAAACAGTGTGCTGGGTCTTCTATCTCCCTCCTCTCAATCCCCTTGTCAGTTGGGTTTGACCAAAGGTAAACTCCACAGCAGATTGTATCAAGGAAGCAGAGTGAAATCTCAGTGTTTATTTCAACACTGAGATCGTATTTGATGAGAGGTTACACTTCTGCCGGCCAACTTTTTCTATGCAGACTCCTCTGTCTCTGGGTCCCTATAGTCTCCTGTAACCCTTCAGGATTAGGGATAGCTGCCTATTGCTGCTTCAAAGGACTGCAGTATCCTTTCTGTTCCTCTACATGCTGTCCATTGAATTCTCCCTAAATTACTCAATTTGTGCCATTTCTTTCCTACCAGAATCCCAACTGATAAAGCAACATTCAGCTTCTGGTCCCATCGTTTTTAAGCTGTGAGCACCTAGGCTACCCATTTCACAGATCTGAGCTGTTGTTTTCTCATCTGTATATATGAGTAATACCTCCTTGGCAAGGTTGTTATGGGAATGAACTAATGCTATAGTAACGGAAAATTTTTTCATTAATATTTCTCCCTTTCTCATCTCAGTCTCTCCCATCCGTCACTGTTGTTTCTCTATTTCTTCACGTGGTTCCATTTCTACTCTCTTTTTAAGGTAACAGAATTTTCCTATTATGTACAAATACATAAGTAATTTATATAGGGGTATATAATGTGCAGAACCCTGTATAAATGGCTTAAATGTACCATGGTTATGTTCCTGGAATAAACTGTTGCTATTTCTACTGCTGCAGAACAGTTAAGTCAAACTTTTGAATTAGGTCAACAAAATCCACAAATAGGGTGGAATCTTTGGACTGTCTAAGCAGGGACAGATCTGGAATAAATCAGCCACAGATATCACTTGTCAGCATGCTGAGGGAGGCGTTTCAAATAAGGGTAGAAGGTACGTCAAGAATATTGGCTTCTGGTAGTATTATGATGTAGCCGTTAAATCTATATTGAGAGTTTTCCATCATGTGGATTCAAGCTAACATAATCGTTTTATGGCAGTAATGTCTAAACAAGAGTCCACAATTAGGCTGTATTTTTATCTTGACTTGTGAACTATCGCTGCCAACTACTCAAATTTCAAGCTTGTTGAGACATATGTTATCCCTGGAAACCCTTCATAAAAATGAAGTATTTTACTGTCCCACCAATTCAAGTGTGCTCTGGTCAGTTCCCCTTCTAGATCCAAATTAACCATGTAATAGTCCCTATACTAGTGAGTAGTATTTTAAATGGCTTTTTAAGCAAAACCAAAAAGAACAAATTTATTTCTATTTGTGCAAAAACATAATATGGTTTGGATTCTCTTTTCTAGCTTTTTAAATAGTGAGACAGAATGACGTTGTGGGGAAAGAACTGGATATGGAATTAAGATCTGTATTTGAAATCTGGCTCTGCTACTACCTCTAGTTGTGTGATCTCATAAAGTCACTTAATTTATCTAGCCTCAGTTTCTTTATCTGTCAAATGGGGATCTACTGGTGAGTCAAGTGAGCTAATAACGGTCTAACAAATTAGCATACTGCCTTTAGGACTTAATAACACTATTTTACAATTTGCATATGTCAAGTTGCAAATACAGTTAGAAGGAAATGGGAATGAAGAAAACTTTCAGACAGAGGCAGGGACTGTTTTAGTTAAAAGAGCATTAAAATACTAGAGAACCAGAGCAAGATAAGAATGAATGCAACGTCTGCATTTATAGCCCACATGTCACAGTTCAGTATTTATAGGTTTGTTAGTGACAGCCTTCCCAGTATAGCAAAGTTAATTACGAAGTAGCTGTCAGTTCCACTGACACAGTGCTGTTCACCTGATCGAGCTGAAACTAGTCACCGTTTCCATAGATGATCATTTAATGTAAGGGTCCAAAGCATGCAACAATAAATCAGTTTGAGTTTCTGATTATAATCTCCCAAAATCTTCCTTTGAAATACCCTACTGATTTTTTTAAAAAAATACAAATCTTAGTGCAATTTATTTCCCAAATATGATTTCTAATTATCTTAGCTGGACTAAAACCTCAGGAAGAGGTGATGGGTCTAAGGCTGAACACACTATTAAATGTATACTTAAATTTTCCAAAGCCCAAACTCCAATTTTTACTAAAATGCCATGATCAAAGAAGAGATATAATAAATATGAAGAGAAAGAATAAGAAAGGAAATAGAGAGAGATCGAAGAGAGGCTTGGGGAAATGTTCAGTGGAAAATCTGTAGAAATGATGTAAGAGAAAGCAAAGGCAGGGATTGGAGTAAGGGGTGTATAACTGAGACTATAAAAACTCAGAGAGAAAACTCACCATCAGGGCTGAGTTTGGGAGAAACTGTACAGACAGGACTCTGAAGTCAGAATCTCCTGATTCTTCACAAGGTAAGTTAAATATAAAAACTGATAAAATTTTAAGTGTTCTTTTCCTTATAACTATTTTTAAAATTTTGCATACTTTTAAAATGTTTGGGTTATATTTTGATTTTGTTAAAATTAGAAATGGTTTTTTTGGGGGGGTAATATTTCCAATCTCTAAAGGGAGTAGAAAATCTAAGAAGATAATTTTGTAATGCAAACTTCATGTGGAGCTAATTGTTTGCTCAGACATTTATTTCATGTTTATTATGTTATTTTTTAGCTCTTATATTCCATTTCAAAACAAAGAGAAAGGGAACTTAAGATGATAATCCTATATGTATGTTAATAGTATTAGTTTGCTTCCATCAAAGATATTCAATGTTAGAAAAATTTTTAATGTACAAAAGAGACCCACTTGTAAAAACCTAGGTAGAAAAGAAAAATGTTTCTCTTATCTTTATTTCTATCAAAATTGAGGCCAAAGAACATCTCTAAATTAATCAAATTCTACAGTCTTTAAATCTAAATTATTCTTTGTTTTTCTTCTTATAAAATTCAAATATGCAAGTATGGTATTAATAACAGTTTAGAGTAGACAGATCATGTTTATTCTTCAGTATCTGTTGAAGTGCTTTTGCTATGAAATGATTGAATTGAAAGTTAATCTGAAACATACATTTGAATTCTGTTTAAGAATAAATTTAAAATTTTGTTTCAGGGTTTGTTCTTTGGAAACAGTGTACACTCCATAAATCCAGTTTAGCAATGCAAATTCCTGCGCCTTTGAATTACAGTAATAGAGTCTATAGATTTAGAATGTGATTATTTGTTTCTGAGTTATTTTTCTAGAAATTAAATAATTTTAACAATGATTTGTGATATTTTAATGCCCATACAGGCTATAGATTTGATAGAATTATATTGAATTGTTTCCACAAAAACATCAGGCATGCTTTGTCTCTCCTCTTTACTTTGGTACTTACCCTTCAGCAATCACAGAACTTTTCTAAGGAGAGCCTCCTGTAGATATGAACTGAAGTCTCCTCTTTGTAACTGAACTGCACTACAGTTTCACTCAGTAAGTTACTTAAGGTATTTAAGGTTGACATGTGCGTTCTCCTTCTCAGGGTTTTGAACTGATTCTTCTGTAAAGAACTATGGAAAGAAGAGAAGCAGTGGAGAAGTAGATATATTTAGTAGAGTTTGGTTGGGACATTAGGGCTGTAATTTCAAATTCTTGATCAAATACTTTCAGGGATTTGAACATTTGTATAATAAAATTAGATTGATTGAGCTTGTCTTAAAGGACTAGAACTCAAAGTAAAGCAGTCCCAAAATATTACCCCCACCCTGTCACTAGGCAGTTGTGCAATTTCAGGCAAGCCTTAAACATAGAGTGGGGCACAATAATATTGTTATTATTCAAAGAGTAAAAAAGAAACAGAAATGTCAGGGAAACTGAACGATTTGGGGAAGCTCCCGTATCGGCAATGTCCCCCACATTAGAGAATGAGCATCCAGTGTAAGAGAAGCTTGAGGCTCATCTTTAGACATCATCTCATTTAACTTCCTTGCCAATATTCCATCTTCTGTGATCCCTACCCACCAGGCGACTTTTGCTTAGATTCGGTGGTGCCATTGGAGGAATACAAGGTTTGGTTAAGAAACCAGACTTCTAATCTCAGTTCTGACTTCAGCAGCTTTCACTCAACCTCCTAGGGATTCTTTCTCTCTCAGCAAAAGTTCTCTCCTAGCCCTGGACACACCGCTACCCAGGCCAGCTCCCATGTGCTTGAAGATCTCTTCCATTAAAGGCATTTTTTTTTTTTTTTTTTTTAGCTGAGAACCCCTCTTCTTTCTCCAAATAATGGGCAGGGCACCTCTCTGCAGCAGGGATTAGCATCACCTGCCAGCAGCCTTGGTTTGGTTGAACAAGGGTTGCCCAGCCTTGTATGTCGTCCCTTATGGAGGCCTCATCAGCTCAGGTCTCACAAGCCTCTGCTCCCCTGCAACCTCCTCTTCTCCCTTCACTTTACATATAGTCTCCTTCATCTCCTCTCCCCTGGGCAAGTTCATTGTCTCTGCGCCTCACTCTCGTCATCTATAGAGGGTTTAAATTTAACAATTTCTAATGAGCACCCCTTCCTTTCTAAAAATCTATATTTCTATGACATATAAGTCTGTAAACACCTGAAAAATGCACTTTAAAAGTACTCTTCAGCCCACCACTGGCACCGCGGCACTGACCCACCAAGTCACAGCTGTGGCTTTCCGCGGACCTCTCCACGGGCTTCCCTGGGGCCCCGTGGGGGGGGGGGGGAGGGTGTTCCCCTGCAAGCTCCCACTTGTCCATGCATCCAGGACTCCCGGAAGTGAGAAAGTGATGTCCTCTCTTCCTTGACCTCCTGTGCAGCCCATCCCTTCCCAGCTGTCCCCTTGCTTTTGTAGAGTGTAGTTCCTGTCCTAAGGTCTTTAATTCCCGTGACACTCATGGGGACTCTGCCTCCAGGATGCACGTCTGCCTGTGCTGTCCCTGTTACACAAACCATGTTAAAATCACGATTCGCACAACGTAACTAAGTGACTTAAAAAAAATGAGTCCAATAATGATATCTTATGAACTATAAAGCAAAATATATATTTCTTATAAAATCATATTAAAATTCAATTAAATATCCACTTTTGTTAATTAGAACTTGAATAATAATTATGTGTTGAGATGTCTTCCCATTATGATATTCTCTATAGTTGTATGCTAATATCTTGATAGAAATATTATGACTGTAATGAATGACAAAGTATAATATACTGTAATATCTAATGCTAGAGCCATTGCCACTTATAAGTCTCTTTAGTGAAAGTTCCTTGCCCTACTCAATATCACTTTCATTAAATCTAATTTTCTATCACTCTTGGAATCTAGAATTATAATGTTATAATTCTAGATTCAAGGACTAACTTTGTTCATTAAAATAAACAAGGATAACAAAGGATTTCTTCACAAAATTAAAATATATATATTGCCATATTCAGAAGGCAATATCAGAAGGACAGCTATTATTTATTAAAAAACTACTTTGCGCCCACTTTCCCTATTTTATTTCTAATCCTTACAATAAAGCCACAAAGTAAGTCTTTGCCCCATTTTCCTGATAAAGATTTTCAACCAGAGAAGCCAAGTAACATGGCTAGTCATAGATCATACCCAGGTCTGTAATTTAAGGGCCATCCAACCTCTTACTACTAATTCATTCTGTTGTATTGGAAAGTATCCACGCATTACCAGAAGTTAGGAGACCAGGGTTTTCAAGTAATCCAGGTTGAGTCAGTTCATCTATTAGAAAAATAGAATTATAATATTTTCCATACAGATCTAACATGGCTGTTATGAAGATGAAAGGAGATAGATGAATTTCAGAATAATACAGTACTTGCAAATGTTTTTTAAAAAACCAAAGGTTCTATACAAAACGTGCCCTGAAGGCAACGGAAGCCTTGCAGGGAGAGTGTGCTGTTGGAGGAGGACGTCCCAGGCTGGGCAATGGTTGAGGGCTTCCCATCCCTGCGAGGCTCAAGTCAATATTTAACCAAATAGTATATGTAAATACAAAGTGGAATAAAGGGGGAAAAAAGGTGGTGATGCTCTACATTATCTTGAGGCCTATTATGCCTTATTTAACTTCATTTATCCAACTTAACCCTCTAAATGCCTTTTAATTTTACAGAAAAATTGCCTGTGTATCAAATGGCCGAGCACCATGCCATGTGCAACTCTGCCAACTCTTTCTGTCCATCATTTTAAAGAGTCATGTTTTTCCCCTTTGTTAAACATTAGCATTAAACAACCAATGCCTTTTTCAGAGCTGTATACAATCATACACAAAGTCCTTTTCTATTTCTAGGTGACAATAATAATCCAGGCATCTCAACATAAATTAATGCTTGATCAGGGGAAGTGTAAACGTACTGGGACAATGACTGGGGAATACTGGTGCAAGTCCTTTTCAATAGAATGAGAATCTACAATGTGAATCATTAATGGACATACTGGGATGGGGGCATGAGTTTTCTCACATATTGCTGCAGGTGTAAAACTTGAGCAAATCTCTCCACTTCTCTACGTTTTAATTGTCAAATCAATAAAACAGGAATGTTAATATCTGCCCTACATTCTCATTTACCACCATGTAAGTCTACTCCACACGTTTATTCAACACATAATGTCGACTCTATACTGGGCATTCCATTGGGTGCTGAGACACACTCGTGATCATGACATAATCCCTACCCTCAAAGAGTTGACACTGAAAACTACACACTTTGTTAAACATACATTCCTGGGTTTTTAAACAGTGAGATCTTCCTTTAAAGTGTCATTGTAGGTTTCTGCTTTCTTAAGTTTTTACAACTAGTAGTATGAAAATTCCAAATAGAAATAAAACAACAGAACTTTACAATTGGGGACAGCAGTGGTGTCTGAAAAAGAATAAAATGCTGTCAAAGAGAGTGAAATTAGTTAGCACATGTGTAAGAGTAAATTATCATTTTTCCTGATTTGTAGCATTCAGGGAAAGTCATTTTAAAATGCAGGTGTCTTCCACATTAGGAACACCTCATCCATAAACATTTCACTTTATAAGCAGTTTGTTTTGGAGATGGAAAAATGTTTTATACTCCCACAAATAGGTTATACTTGAAGGAGCATGAAACCGAGTGTCTGAAACGCAAGTTGTTGTTCTGGCTCTTCTTCTGAATGACTTTGTGACTTTGGAAAATTTACTACTACCCATTGAAGAGCAGTGAGAAATGGGAAAGAACGCATTCCTGATATTTTAATTAAAAGTAAGAACACGGGAAATGTTAAATGCGTCAGTGTCAATTTGCATCTTCCTTTCAGGATTATACTCAAAACATAAAGCAAGATGACCGTCACACAATTTACGGAAAATAACAAAGTTCACAAAGAGACTTTTAAATAAACGACTAAGCCTCATGAGTATTTCTCAGATGTATTTCTGTGAGGA